CTAGCGCGCCACCTGTCCGCGGAAGGCGCTCAGGGCTGCCCCTCTCCCTCCCTTTCCCGGCCCTCCCACTCCGCACAGAACCTGCACACTGTGTGCCCCCGACCCCAGGAAGAGCCTCTCCGGCAGCAGGACGCGCCACGGCAGCGCCGGCCTCTCTCCACTCCGGCCCCGGCCCACCCGGCGGGAAGACCTACACCCGCGTCCCGTCCCAGCCCGCGTCTCTGAGGACAAGGGCTGTGCCTCCTCCATTGCTGCACGCACAGCCTGGCCCGCAGGTGAACGAATGAACGAACGCGACCCAGCGCACCCGATGGGCCCGGCCCGGGGAGAGGGGCCCGGTTCTCACTCATGGCTCGGATGGGAGAAGGCTTCCTGGCCGCGCTCACCGCCGTGATGAACCGCGCGTAATTCATGTCTCCGACGCCCAGTCAGCGTCTTCCTCAGCGGCCGGGGCTGGAAAAACCGAACGGCGCGGTCACGTCCCGCGCAGTCCGCGCTCGGTCTCCGGGTCCCGACGGCCGGGGCGGGTGGCCGGACCGCGACGTCCCGCGCTGAGGGAGGGCCCGCGCCGTCTCCCGAGCCCGGGCCGCTGTGCTCGCCGCCCCCGCCCGCCCCGGCCTCCGCCTCGGCCCGTGACGCCGGCCGCCCCGTCCCGGGTCATCGCCCTCCGCGTACGCGGCGTGCCGGGACAGGCACGGTCGTGTCGCACTTGCAGCCCCGGACCTGCGCCCGAGTCAACTCAAAGCCAGTCGGACTCTTGACCTCGGAGCGCCGCGCTGCACAAACGCCGGGGCCCCGGTTGTACAGCCGGGATCAGGCGGGCGCTTCCGGTGGGGACCGGAAGTTTTGCCCGCGATCCTCGGCCTCAGTCCCCACCTGGCGGCCGCTGCGGCCATTGCAGCGCGTTCCGGGGCGCGGACCTTTGCTGTCGCTGCTCAGGCCATGGTGGTGCCCCGTTTCCGACTTTCATTAAGAGAACTGAGGACTGAACTCTAATTTTTTTGCTAAAAACTCCGTCCTAAGGAGGCCAGCTGGGTTAGGCTGGCAAATGGTAAGGAGGCCAGCAGGGTTAGGCTGACAAAGGGTAAATTCCCACTAAGCGGCTTTTGTTAACCAAACGAAGCAGTGGTTTACTTCCTGACCTGATTCTGGTATGGCATTAACATCACCTAAAAGATAAGAAGCCCCTGTCTTAACTCAAGCATCCTAGCAGATGCCTATTCTTAAATTTAAAGCATCTTAAAACATCCTAGCAGGCGCCTATTGTAAATTTAAAGTGTCCTCCTGTCTGGACCTCCCAGAGTGCTCACCCTTATCTTAAAGTAAGCATATCCTTTCTGGTCTTCTAGATAAAGACTAACTCTCTCAGCCAATTGCCAGCCGAAGAATCTTTAAACCCACCTATAACCTGTAAGCCCCCGCTTGGAGATGTCCCACCTTTTTGGGCCAAACCAATGTATGCCTCTCATGTATTGATTTGTGACTTTGCCTGTAACCCCTGTCTCTCTGAAAATGTATAAAACTGAACTGTAACCCAGCCACGGCGAGTCCACTTGCCCAAGGCCTCTTGGCAGTGGCTCCGGGTCATGGTCCTCAAATTTGGCTCAGAATAAATCTCTTTAAAATTATTTTGCAGACTTGGCTTTTTTCCGTTGACAGAACTATAGGCAATATCCTGGGAAGTCACCGCGGCGACCCACCTGAAGTGCAAAGTCACTGTGTCTCAGATCTGAGCAGTGCAGAGTGTGCGTGCAGTGCCCATAACGAATTTTGAAAGACTCCCTCTGAGGGTCTCCTCAATGTTAGCATTGCTCCTGCCCCTCAATTTTCTGACCTTTCGTTATGAAATCGTGAGGTGAAAGTGTATGTCCAAATCTTTTTGGATCTGACGCCTTGCCCACCACCCTCCTCCAACTTTCCTGTGATTTCTCCTTCCTGAACCACTAAAATGGAATGTGTGGCCTTCTGCGTGAGAGAAGACTGTGAGAGGGTCAAAATCTCTCTCCTTAAAAAAATTCTTAATGGGAATAATAGAGTCATTTATTTTAATGAATTTCTAACTGGATTCTTTCATTCAGTAAAAATTTACCGAGTATGGAAGTGGATGAATACTGACACACTGCCAAAGGGCTCTCTTCCAAACATAAAAATAGTTTGGTCAAGGAGAGACTGTGCTCTTATCTAGGTCCTGAGAACAAAAGGATAAGATAACTTAGGGAAATCTTTATGCCAGCAGCTAAATAACAAAAGGGAGTATCAGTAAGTAAACCTGCTAGGAATTCAAGAGGCACTATACTTCTGGATTCAGAGGCTTCAAGCGGTATAAATCCCTCTTGATGGCTTACCAGCTGTCGGTCTGTGGACAAGTTAAACTTTCTGTGCATCAGTTTTCTCCCAAGCCCACTGGCAGAATGAAAGGAAGATAATGTATATTAAACTCATCAGTACAGTGGTCTGCACATTGTAAAAACACTCGATAAATATGAGCTGTTTTTGTGAGTAGCAACACTTTTAGCGACCTTACGGACTCAACCTTCAAATGTTTTTTGTTGGAGAAGCTATTTAGCAACTTCTAAGGCAAATTGTGTCCTTAGTTAATTCATGTACACAATGAAGGATCTTTTTGAGATTGTCCATTCTAAAAGGAATTGCCCCTGAATATTTCTGGAAATTAACTCAAGAAGATCTAAATACATCTAAATAATGTATAGATCAAGGTTAATTATGAAATGTAACTAGAATTGATGTTATTGGAGACCTCAAAGTTTTTTTTTTTCCCCACTTAGTAATGTGTGTTTCCCTCACATACTTAACGCAAACTTAAACTTCTTCCCTATGGTAGTAGGAACCTGTTTGGTGAAACAAGTTCAGAGTTCTGGACCAAGGAAAACACTAAAGGTTTTTGCAAGCACATTGATGCACAGGTCTGTGATTCTTACAGTATTTATTATACAAAGGCATTTTTTGATAGTGCAGAACTCATTGTTTTCCTTTCCAATCAGTGATAACACAATTTAAGGAACCAAAACTAAAGAGATTTAAGGTCATGCAATAACAAGGTGCAGGATTTCAACCCTTCAACAGTTTGCTGAATTTTCTATGTGGCCTGCCCTAGAGTTGGACTGGTGAGATGCTTGGGGGAGCTGATCAATTATAAATGAACTGGGTGATGATTCAGGCAAGGGAGAGAAGCAGGGGCGTGGCCCATCAGAACAGGCTAATAGAATGCAGGGACTCTGGGGGTGCGATTGGACAATGCAAAAGAGAATATAGCTAAAGTGGTGGAAAAGGGACAGGCAAGGGTTAAGTTGGGAAGAGCTTACCAATTTGAAGGTGAAAATGGAAGGTAATAGGATTGTCAGAAAAACTAGACTTTGGATTTTTCAGGTAAAACAGCAGAAGTTCTCTTGGGAGTAAGATGAATGAGCAAGGTTCACAGCTCAGTATCATGTTTATTTTTTTTAAATTTTTATTTATTTCAGAATATTACTGGGGTACAAATGTTTAGGTTACTTATATTGCCTTTGCCCCACCCGAGTCAGAGCTTCAAGTGTGTCCATCCCCCAGACGGCGCACAATGCACCCATTAGGTGTGAATATACCCATCCCTCCTCCCCACTCCCTCCTCCCCAACACCTGATTAATATTACTTCCATATGTGCACATAAAGGTTGATCAATTAGTACCAATTTGATAGTGAGTACATGTGACACTCGTTTTTCCATTCTTGTGATACTTCACTTAGGAGAATGGGCTCTAGTTCCATCCAGGATAATACAAGAGGTGCTAGATCACCATTGTTTTTTGTGGCTGAGTAGAACTCCATGGTATACATATACCACATTTTATTAATCCCTTTTTAAAGAGTTGGTTTAGCACTACCTGAGGATAGAATTAAAAGTGCTAGATTCTTTCTCTAAACACTTACTGCGTTCTTACCCTCTGCTAGAACTGAATGAATTTAAAAAGATTATGGACTCAACTGCTCTTGAAGAGCAAGTGTTTGTACATTGAGAGGTCAACAGAGTAAATATTTGAGAGAGATTGATGTGGAGAGCGGGAGTCAAGGATGAGTCAGGGCATTAATAGTCTAGGCCTGCCATAATAAATCAGCACTACTGAGTAGTTAAAACAATAGAAATGTATTTTCTCATAGTTCCAGAGGACAGAGGTGTGAAATTAAGATGACATCAGAGCTGTGCTTTCCCTAAAGGCTTTAGGGAAGAATCACTTCTTGCTCTTCCTAGCTTATGGTCATCCGCATTCCTTGGCTTGTAGCCATAGCATTCTGATTTCTGCCTCTGGTCTCATGTGACCTTCTCTCCTCTGTGTGTCTCCCTCCCTTCATGAGGACACCAATTATTATTGGGTTCAGAATCCATCCTAATCCAGTGTGACTTCATCTTAACTTCCTTACATCTACAAAGGCCCTATTTACAGGTTGAGTATCCCTTATCTGGAAATGCTTGGGACCAGAAGTGTTCTAGATATTTTTGGATTTTGGAATATTTGCATATGCATAATGCAATTTCTTACAGGATGAGACCCAAGTCTAAACATTAAATTTATTTGTGTTTCATGTATACTTTATGCACATTGCCTGAAGGTAATTTTGATATTTTAAAATAATTTTTTACATGAAATAAAGTTTGTATACACTGAACCATCAGAAAGTAATGTGTCACTATCTCAGCTATCCATGCGGACAATCTGGTTGTTTGGCATCATCATCAATCCCGACTCTGAATATGCTTTATATGCTACTGATAAGCAATCATATTCTTACACTTATTCATGCACAAGTACTTAACAGTAAAAAAAAGAAAAAATGACATGCCATTAATATAGTGAAAAAATAGTATATTCAGGGTAACTAAGCAGCACTAAAATACCCGGATCATCTGTTAAACAATATATATATTTTTAGATGAGAATAAACATCAGAAGCAGGAGAGGGACCAGGAAGCATGTCTCCCAGGGACAAGGAGGCATTCTACTGGATGGCTTTTTAAAATGTTGCCTCCCAGTGATCTTCCTCACTAAGGTCAGTTTTTGTCTTGTAAGTATCTGTCTGACTTTATAAACTGATACAATTTCTTATTGTTATGAATGTGCACTGCTTTAATCCTTCAATAAGCCCATCACACATTTTTATGTCATTTATGAACACTTTTTCTGCAGTATTAACACCACCATCTTCATTGTCCACTTGGGCTGTGACATTGGTGCTCAAAAAGTTTCAGATTTTGCATTTCAAAATTTGGAACAGGGATGCCCAACCTGTACAAATAAGGTCACATTTATGGCTTCTGTGCGGACATGAATGGTTTGGGGACACTATTCAACCCACTACAGTCAATGACTAAGGGAGCCTAAATTGTAATAGGCTGAGAGACAGGGACAGCCAGTAGTTTACAGTGAGAAAGACAGCAAAGGAAGAGTGTTTTGAGAAGGACTGAATGCTGCTGACAGGACAAACTGGTAATCTCTAACCTCAGCACTGCAGGGCCATATATTCAATTGATATTAACCAATAAGAGGAGGTAGCACCCAACTGCTGTTAAGACGGGGTTCTTATGCTAGCCCATTTTTCACCGGGGAATAACAGTGGGATTGCAAACACATTGTCTAAGTTCATTTAGTGTTGCTATAACAGAATACCTGAGGCTGGGTATAGTACTGGTCCAGGTAATTTTGGTTATTATCGAAGAAAACTACTGAATAAAGTAAGTGGAAGGCTTATTTTACTTTTACAAGCCTCTTTAATTTACACTTCCCTCTTCTGTTTACAGAAACGTCAGATTCCTCAGCTTGCCCCCCCCAAGCCTGCATCTCTTCCATCTCTCCTAAATAATTGCCACCAGCTGCCTTAGAAATAGGGATTTGTGCCTGGAGCCAGCTGTTTTGACCCTGAGGCTGACATTGTTGCTCAAGAACTTTAGCTGTTGGAAGATGTAACATCTCATCCAGCTGTGCAAGAAAATAATAAAACTATGATGGAGATGTTTATATAAACAAGGGATGGCATAAATAACAATGACATAAACTTCCTAATTCCTCAAAGGAACTTATAACTTTATAATTACTAAATCTTGGAACACTGTGGTAATTTGTTAGGTACTGACAGAAAACGAATATAGGGTGTGTATGACACAATCAGAGTGAGATCCCATTCTGTTAGGTACTACATGTGTATGCACAGCAAATCATTACAAAGGAGCAGAGATAAATGCTGACAGCAGTTCTCACTGGGGGGCAAGATAGTGAGTGGCTTTTACTTTATTCCTTATATTTTCTGGATTGTTTGAAAATTCTAAAATGAACATATATTACTTTAATAATCAGAAGGAAATAAAAAGGATTTTAAAAGGTGAGAAAGAAAAGTAATAAAAAGCATATCCTAATACTTCAAAGAGTTGTATCAGATTTAATTGACATAATTAAGAATTTGCTTTAATAAATTATGCCGTATTATGTAAATACAGTATAGTAAATTTTAAGTCCATGATCTCCCCTCCTTACTTAGAATTAACAGGTCTGATCCTTTTAGGTATGTTTAGTTTCAAATTTTATTTTAAAGGGATTTCTGTGGCATAACATAATACTTCTGGTATTCTTACTAAAAATCATTTATAATGGTCAAATTGTTAACAAATTTTGCAACATGCTTTTATTAAATTTTCCTAAAATAGAAAAACCATTTTGAACTTAATTATTTCCTTAAATTTTCAAAATAATTTGGTGTAAAATATTAGTTTCAAACAAAATTTAGGGGAAATTATAAAGCAACTACAGAATTCTTTACAATACATAAAAATAATTTTTGCAGATTGGCAATTTATCAAAATGCATAAGTGGATTATAAATATATTGTGGCAATCTGGTGGATTTAAAGGCACTTTAAAAGTTCCTTAGTTGAACCACTGTAGATAGGACATAGTTGAGGAAATCCAATTTGTAAGTCCAATACCAATGAACATTTCTTCCTGCTAAAATATGGAAATAACTTTATCAGAAAAATCCATGAGCAGTGTGATTAATTTGATTTCTTCATAAAGATTCTTCTATAAGTTGGGCTAATATCCTGAATCCCTAAAATAGAAGAGAGTTATAAATTAATTAAATTAGGATGTAATTCCAATTACATTGGAAAAGTCTGTCATACCTTTAAAAATTCAGAGTATCCACCTGAGGTTGAGATAAGGCAGTGAAAAGTCAAGTTTAACATCAGCATTATCTGGGCAGGCTGCCATCAATGCCTACTAAGATATGTCGATGGAAGTACATCAGACTTCAGGGATTCTCTTTTTGTTTGTATATCCCTCAAGATTTTCATTTTCTATTTTATCCACAACACAGATTATCTTCTATTTTCATATACTCTCTCGTCTGCACATGCATTCTCTATAGTTTCAATTCTCCAACTCCATTCATATGTATAAAGCAGAGGGAACTTTGAAAAGCATATTCAACGACATGAGAATGCAAGTAAAGAAAGAACACACAAAAATTTCCATCTCCAAGGATGACTATGAACTCTTTTCAATGTTTATGGGATTATTCAATTTACAGCTCTTCTGTCTGGATTTCCAGATAAACAGTCCTTAGGGTGCTGTTTCTTTGCTTCTTGTTATTTTGCTTAAAGCTAGATTGTGATTAATTTAAGGATATCATTCTACCTGACCCTGCTGATACTTTTTTCTTCAGAGAAGGAGACTGATGACTGTCATGAATTTGTACTTTTGGCTCATGGTAAAGGTTTTCCTCCTAACATGTTGGGAATCTCCCAGGACTCTTAAGCATGTTCTGAGAAATTATTCATGAAGACAACAAACTTTAACTCCATCTCAGTCTCATGCAAAATTGGTCTTCTAATGGTAGTTCTTGACTGGTCAATTAATTTCTGGTTTTTAGAAACCATAAAATGGCATTACATAATGTTCTAATTCACAACGTAAATACATGCGACAAAATATGCAGCTGATAGCTATTGTTACTTTGAAGAGACTACTGTACTCACCACGTCCATCTGCTCTGGAGATGCTAAAGAGTAGGACACTCTCACGTAAGGTCTAGGAGCTGAGCTATCGACGTAGAAGCCATTTCCCGGAAGCATCAACACCTAGGAGAGGTTGTGGAAAATAAGGAATGTGCCATTAAAGAAAAACTACAAGAAAATACAGGTAAACCTAATCTCACAGTGGGGAAGGATGCTTTAAGTATAAAAGCAGTTAAAGAAATCAACAAAAAAAATGTATATTAAAAGTATGTATGTTATACAATAAACACTAAACATATAGAAACAGGAAAAATGTTTTCAATAAATATGGCAAATGCCATCTCTTCTTGATATATAAGGAATCCACAGAAACAGAGAAGAAAAACACTCAAATTCTAGCTTTAATGTGCAAATGACAGCTAAGTAAAGAAACAGAAATAGTAATAAATACAAACAAATGTTTAACTTAACTAGAAAAGTAATAGTGATTCAAACAATAAGATACTATTTTTAAGTTATCAAGTTTGAAAGTGAGTTTTAAGCTGGGACCTGAAAGTGTCGGCCAGGCAAAAAATGGAGAACAGTACTTGAGGGAGAAGATACGGCGTATAAAACCCTGCGATGGGAAGAAAATTGGTACATCTGAACAACTGAAGGGAGGTGAAAAAAATTTAATGCAGAAAGTGAAGGAATAAAAATGCTCAGTAAGTGGGTGAAGACGTGGTGGTGGGAACGACGGCTGTTCTCGTGACACGGTGGCAGAGACAGCGCGCTGACTGCGACTCCAGGACCTCCTCGTCCTGCACACAGACACGCTCATCCCCTGGCCTCTTTCTAGTCCTGTGTGGCCGCGAGAGAGACTTCTACTCAGTGGATGTTGCTGAAGTTGCGTGTGCTACTTCTAGGCCTGGCTCACAAAGATCTTCCCCTGTGAGATTACACGGGCTCTTTCCAGTCCGTACGAGCTTGGAGTCCGTGTGCCGAAGACTGAACAGCAACGAGATGGAAGGAACCGGGCTCTCTGAACCACTGGTGGAGCAGAGTTGCCGGCAGGTCTCCTCTTTGAGTTTTATGGGAGTCAGAAATAAACTTGCATTGTGTTAAGTCTCTGAGATTTTGCAGTTTATCTTTCATGGCAGCATTAGCTAGCACAATGATGACCTTCATAAGCACTGAGTAGCTGCCTGTTGCTGCACAGTGTAAATGTGGGCACTGCACTGTAAACCAGAGGAGCTGGGAGGGAAGTGATTTAGGGAAAAGATCTGCAGGCAGAAGGCGGGTTTCTCTGTCCCCATTAATAATGAGATGAAAGCCGTGGTGCAAAGATTGTGTTATGTACTAGAAGGAAGGAGCTGTAAGAGGAGGAGAGGATGGTAATCATCTCTCTGCAAGATAAACAAGAGCTGGGCTTACAGCTGGGCTAGGGTGCTGTGATGAAGGTGGAGACTATGTGGACAAGGCAAAGGCACATGAGACAGGACGTGAGGAATAAATGCAGGGAACAGAGAAACGTGCAGTGAAACACGGAGTCTGCATCCTCAGCACCCAGCTCACAGATACTCACAGCCAGCCACCTACCAAATGTTTTTGATGATGATGCCAGCGATAGAAAAGCAAGAATGTATCAACTCAATTTGTCATACTAACATGTATTTATAAAATAAGGTAGTTAAATATTTATTAAGTACCCACTGCATGCTGGGACTAGCATTAGAATAATTAACACGCCATCAGTCCCGCCCTCCAGGGAGGTGGCTGGAGAGGACGATGACTTTCCCCAGGTGTGGAGAGACTTTCTCCAGGTGTGGAGCGGGGGCTGCAGCCCAGACAGGCCGTCTCCAGGTCTCCCTTCCAGAGCACCTGTGTCCTGGGCACTAGCATAGCACTTGGTCACTGTCTCCCCAACTTGTCTCACTGCTTCAAGACAAGTCATTCCAGAAACAGACCTCAGTGTTTACACAAGATTGACAGACATGATGATGGAATTAATTAATGGAGAAGGCAAAATTTACTTGGTAAACTGGAAAGCTACACAGAAAAATATTTAGCATTTTAAGCTTAATCAATGCCCCCATATGAAGACTACGTAGACTTATACATTTATAAATACAAAAGAAAGAAAAAAGAAACCTAGAAGACATTCTCATGAGCTAATTTTAGGTGAAAAATCAGGAAGCAAACTTTCCTGTGTAATGTTGACCATGTGAAATAAGTGCTCAGCCACAACACCAGAACACATACCATGTTTCCTTGAAAATAAGACCTACCCATAAAATAAGCCCTAGCAGGATTCCTAAGCATTTGCGCAATAGAAGCCCTACCCTGAAAATAAGCCCTAGTGATGCGCGTGGCTACGCAGAGCATCTGCACAACCCATGCATTTCGTGGCGAGCAGTAAAGAAGTCAAGCAGCCCTTCTCATCTGCCCCATCATGACAGCTACTATCCCAGAGGTGAGTGGAAAGGTGCGGGCAGCCCCAACAAAAAGGTTGGCTCCCCCTGTCAGGTCCCGGACATCCTTTGCATGCTGCAAGCCGAGGCTTTGAGGGGAAAATAACACATCCCTGTAAATAACCCATAGGGTGTCTTCTTGAGGAAAAATAAATATAAGACCCTGTCTTATTTTCGGGGAAAAATGGTACAAGCTCTTTAAGAAATTATACCACAAATGGTCACAAATTTAGGTGGTGAAAATATGGGGTATTTAAAATTTTTTTCATTGTGCTTTTATGCATTTTTCAAATTTCCTACCATGAGTATACTGTACTTTCAAAATCAGAGAAAAAAATCCCTCCATTTTAAATACTAATGGCTAATACTCACTGAGCATTTTCTCAGTACTCTGCACGTATTACACCATTTATTACCACAGCACCATGAGGGAGGGATTCTCACTGTCTCTATCTTACAGATGAAGCACCAGGAGGGTGACTGACCCAGAGCTACACAACCAGGAAGGCGAGGAGCTGGGACTCCAACTCAAGGAGGGGGCTGCAGGGACTGCTCTCAGCCACTATGCTAATGACTGCATTTCCATTAAGTTAGGCCAGATGAATAATTATGTAACCCAAAAACCTAGTACGATTTTAATAATGAGATAACATATCTAATATCAGAACATTATGAGTTGAGTGGTGGGCAGCAAAAAACATCTCTTTTCATTTCCATTCAAGTAAAAAATGACCTTAAAGAAAAAATATAACTTTTCTTTAGGCTTCCCCATCCCTCACCTCCCAATTTTACCTCTTTTTTAATGGCTTTCTCTTCAATCAGTTGTTTAACATCAGAAATGCCTTTAATTTTAATCCATAAAAACATTCCAGCAGTAGGAATGTGCCATTCTGCCAAATCTACAAACAAAAGCAGAGAACAAATGTCTTCTGAAGGAAGGATTTTGGGTGATATCAAGATGTTAAATGGCATAATGTAGTAATTACCAATGAGTGTTTCCAAAAAGTTCCTTCAGTGATAGCATTTTAATACTGTCATTTTAAGAGCCCTGAAAATTGATGTTCGCTGTTTTATTTCTGAGAGTCAGTGTGGTTGGGGGAGGGGGTGAGAGGTGAGGGAGACTGATTTGCTCAAGTGCGCACATTCGCAATGGACTCAGCCCGGGTGCAGTGCTAGGAACACGGGGCCTCCCTCCTTCACTTAGCTGGGGCCCTGCCTAGATATGCACGGCCTGGTCAAGTTTAGCAGAGAATTCTTCAGCTTTTCCTGGAGCCTCACAGCGTCTTGATAAATACTATCATTTACATAATAGTTTACAAGTTCAATGGACTAGAATTTTTATCAGAATGTAATCAATTATGCAAAGAAGTGGTTAAAATTCAGGAATTCCAGAAACATTTGTAGGCTTTATGTTTCATTGAATATTAGAATAGAGAAATCAAGAAGACAGGATACTTTGATTTCATTACTATCTTTTCTAAAAAAGAAAACTTGCTCTTGATTAAAACATTTCTTCATGTTTATGGCAGCACAATTCACTATTGCAAGGATATGGAAACAACCCAAGTGTCCGTCAATTCATGAGTGGATTATTAAAATTTGGTATATATTTACAATGGAATATTACTCAATTCTAAGAAATGACAGCGAGCTAGCACTGCTTATATTATCATGGATTGAGTTTAAGCCCATTATCCAAAGTGAGGTGACACAAGATCAGAAGAATGGGCTCCACATGTACTCGCCATCAAATTGGTACTGACCGATTATCAGTATGGTGCTCAAAGGGTGGAGGTGTTCACCAGGGATTCGGGGGATGGGGGGGTAGTCCCACATCTCAAGGATGTGGTGAGCATTATGGAGGCGAAGGGCATACCTCTAACCCTTGCTAGGGAGAGGAAAAAATATAAAATGTAACCAAAATGTTAAAAAACAAAACAAAACATTTATCCGGTGTCAGGCAGGTGGGAGGAAGGGATGGGTATTTACATACATAGCGAGTGCTATGCGTACCGTCTGGGGGATGGACACACTTGAAGCTCTGACTCGAGGGGGGAGGGGAGGCAAGGGCAATATACGTAACCTTAACGTTTGTACCCCCATAATATGCTGAAATAAAAAAAAAATTTCTTCAGTACTATTATGGAAGAGGCAGAATATTTTTTTTTTTGTTGAGACAGGATCTTGCTCTGTTTCTTAGGCTAGAGTGCAGTGGTATCATCATAGCTCACTGCAATCTGAAACCCCTGAGCTCAAGTGACCCTCCTGCCTCAGCCTTCCAAATATCTGGGACTAAGTCACATGACACCATGCCTGGCTAATTTTTTGTTTTTTATTTTTGTAGAGCCAGGGTCTTGCTGTGTTGCTCAAGCTGGTCTCAAACTCCTTGTCTTGAGGATCCTCCTGCCTCGGCCTCCCATAGTGCTGGGATTACAGGTATGCGCCATCTCACTTAGACTATAATAGTACTCTTATCAAAAAGATAAGAGGTCTATTTTTGCCAAGACTTTATACAGAAAGAGATATGACAGAAATAAGGAAATAGTATGTTTGGTTTACTATTATTTACATCAAAGGCATTTTAATAATATAATTAAAGCCATGTATTTTATTTGACTTTCTTTCATAACATCAAAACATCCTGCAATCAGATAGCAATAGATAATATTAGACAGATAAACGAGCTTAATGATTAGAAGGCAAATATATTGTAAGGAGAGATCTGCCTTAGACTGTACTATTTTGTCTTTAACAAATTAATTCAAAAAGGAGCGTACGGTTTGTTTGACAAATCCTCTTCTGTTTGGAACAAAATTTTGAGGCAACTCTAAAACTTTTTGCATATTGATGTTATTTAGGTTTAAGTAAGTTATTGCCAGTTGATTTTTAGATCAAACTTTCTTTTTTTAAAATCATAAATTCTTTATAGCAGACAGGTAAAGCAGAGATAGGTAGACCTGTTCCATGGTTTATAGAATGTTTCTGGGATCATTTATAGGGTAACATTTCCTTGGTAAAGAATACTCCTGGAATGGTTTCTTTTCCACTAGGACTGTTAATAACATGCAGTGTTTACAGTCATTCTCAAAGGTGCTATTGTTTATCATAAGGGTGTGTACGTTCCACTCACCACTTAACCACTTGTCCGCAGCTGCCAATATTGCATCTCTCTGCTCCCTGTAGAAATCTATAACCCTTTAAGAAAAAAAAAAACAACAACAATGAAATGTGTTCAGTACATTCATTGCAGAAATGAACAAGGCTCTGGAGTCCAGGCTGTAAGAAAATCTGTTTTATATCTTGATTAAAATGTTGAATACTTGATAAGAGAACATAACACATGTGCTTGACTTGCCTGGTGATAAAACTTTTTACTATTACCTTCTTTCCCTTATTGTGGAATAATTCAAAGATGAAAGTTAATAAAGCAAAGTCCATTTCCACATAAAATACAAAATCTATAAGTAGAGGATGTAGCAGCATCAGTCTTTGTGATTTGTTATCTGAAACAATGGCTATCAACTGCAGGGTAGGAAAACACCACTTACATGGTGAGTCCCTGGTTTGGGAATGAGGACACCCCACCTCTCCTTATTTCTGAATGGACTAGGAGGTACCATATTTACATAACTAAAATAACTCCTCATTTGCACAAATATGCTCATTATTTAGGCAAATTATATTTTCAGTCATCTGTGCTTGAGCCAAATCCTGTGTCATGTGTCCCTCATGGTTGATTATTAAATAAAATATTTATGTGTGTGCATAGTTTACCCTCTCAATCAGTTACTAAGGGAATGCTAAGCTGGTGGGAATTTTGCATTGCCTTGAGTGTGGGCAGACTGCTTTCAAGCCATCCCCGGGATGCTCCTGAAAAGACTTTCTAGGTGAAGAGCAAATAAAGCGAGTGGACTTCTGACTTCTGACAGACTATTCCTCTTGGCTGTCTTAGGGTTAGGAAGGAAGACTAAACAACCAACATTCTGGGTGATCTGTACTATGTCCACGAGGCTCCTATTTTGTTCATAAATGTTTTAACAGATGATTCAATACCTGTGCACGTGAGCCAGGAAGCCCTCTTCTCCCCACTGGTGTAGAAGCTGTGATATCATGAGCTAAAAGAGATTAAATAAGAAGAAATATCACCATTCATCCCTTAGAAATGTGATTATTTTTGCCAAATGTAAAAGCAAACCACTCTTGATTACATGTAAACCACCATAAGAAGATATAATGAGGCCGGGTGCGGTGGCTGACGCCTGTAATCCTAGCACTCTGAGAGGCTGAGCTGGGCAGATAGCTTGAGGTCAGGAGTTTGAAACCAGCCTGAGCAAGAACGAAACCCCATCTCTACTATAAATAGAAAGAAATTAATTGGCCAACTAATATATATATACAAAAAATTAGCTGGGCATGGTGGCGCATGCCTGTAGTCTCAGCTACTCAGGAGGCTGAGGCAGCAGGATTGCTTGAGCCCAGGAATTTGAGGTTGCTGTGAGCTAGGCTGACGCCACGGTGCTCACTCTAGCCTGGGCGACAAAGCAAGACTCTGTCTCAAAAAAAAAAAAAAAAAAAAAGATATAATGAGCTGAACCTACCTTATACAGTGATTTATAATCAATGTTAATTAATAACAATGACAATAGTAAAAATAATAAATATTTGTATAATACTTGTTATGTGTCAGGCACTATCGTAAGATACTAATATATATTAGCTAATTCTTTCATTATAAATTTCTACTTCCCTAAGGAAGAAATCAAGGCATGAGGGATAACCTTCCCAAAGTCACACAGTTGGTCACAGAGCCTGGATCCAAAGTCAGACTGTCCAGTTCCACATCTAGGTTATTAATTACAATACTATCTCTGTAAACAAAAAATATATGGTAGATATGTAAAGTTATATATTTAGAGATTTCTACCTAAAATAGACATTCTAGATGTTATAAATTGGCAGTGAACTTCCATTTATAACAATAGAAAGAATGTGGAGAAAAAACCCAACTTGGTAAAACATGGGGATACCTGTACTTTATGGAATGTATAATATCAAACAAGTATCTTATTCTATAAAAATTTTTCTATTCCATTTATATTGTTACAATTTACAAGGTTTTGTTTGGGATGGATACAATAATTTCTCAAAGCTTGTGAGAAAATTTATACTCTATACAAATTAATTTTACTTTAATTAAAATATTAATGCATTCTATCCAATGTCTTTAGGAGAGCTCATACATGTGCAATGAAGGCATATAGGGAGTCACTGAACAGGTTGGGAATTCTTGCTATTTTTTATTCTGATCTGATTAAAAAATCCTATTTCCTAAATTGTCCTTACCTGGTTAAAAGTGCTGGGGTGCAGTGTTGATGCTTGTGTGTGAAGAACAACTCTCTCTATCAAGGTTTTTGGACCAGTTAGAAACCCTATTCTCAACCTACACAGAAACAGAAAAGGCACAACCCCAATCCCACATTAACAATTAATATATACCACTGTCTTGATTTCATTAGGAAGAGAGTTGTGACTTGGGGACAAATAGATCTAGACAATTTAAAAAAACTAAAAGAAGAACTGCATTTTATTTCCAATACAACTTTAAATAGAAGAGTACATCTAAAACAAGTCTGACTGCATGTTTCCAAATGTGCTCTCTCACACATGACACCAAAAGCCCAACCAGTCCCACTGCAACTTTAGATCAATGGCCAAGTGTGTTTGACCAGTGGAGATCAATGAAGAGAGAAAACGCCTATGTGAATATTAATAACCAAACTTGTGTTTTAGGGCAAGAGGAGTACAAGCATCTTCAGTGAAAAGAATTGTGTGGACTAAAAGACACTGAGGCACAGTGTCTGGCTGTCTGGACGGAGCCTCACGGTGGAGACGTGGCCTTACCCCGCAGAAAGGACCTTTGAGAAAGAGTCAGCTCTGATGACACGCCCATCAACATCCATGGAAAGGAAGGTTGGTGCCCAGGGCTTAAAATGAAAAGGCAAACAAACAAAAACACAACTGTTGGTTTGAGAACTCTGTTAGTCACCGTATGATTACTTTGCATACACAGTGGACAGGGCATGTTTTTGGATACAACAGCACAAGTATTCTCTCACCTTTATTTCAACCCTTTGACATGGGGCAGGAACAGAGATGCAGATTCTTTAAGCACCTGCCTGTCTTCATGGCTTTTTTGCCAAAACACACACATAAGGCTCCTTCATGTGCGCCAGATGCCGTTATTATACAGTTAGAGAAACTTCAAACAGGCCCTCCTTGCCACAAAGGTTGAAACCCAGGATCAACAGACTTAAAGGAAGAAGTCAGGAAAGAGAAGTTTGCACAAGACCAAAACGTGGAGGGCCAGGAGCACTCACAATCGTGCAGGAGAGACGCTGATCCTTAGGACCAACTGGAAAGGTGAGAATAAAGATGAGAAATGGCGTCGACAGCACCTAGTGACTTCAATATTTACTTCAGATGGAGTGACAAATGAGAACAGGGGTGATGGGCACGGTGACAGTGGGAGGGTGAGTAGAAAGAAGTGAATTCTGGCAAATCTTATAGAGAAATCAAAAGTTTCTCTCTCTTCTCTGTATATTTAAACAGGGAACAGAATCCATGCTCAGTTCTTCCCAGTGTATGTTCTTTGCATCCCTGAGAGCAAAGAAGGTGTTGAATTTTGAGGAATTGGGCCTTGGTTTTCTTACTACGACTACTGTCTATTAGAAAACAACAATTGTGAAACGTATCGTACATCTAAAATATAGTGAGAATGAATCTAAAAGCCCATTATTCTCCAGATAAGACACAGGACATAGACGACAGGGTGACAAATACGTGGCACACCACCTGTGATGCCCCCTCCTATGTCTGTAAGAGGCACCACCAATTGAGCACAGTCCTTTCTGCTTCAGCTTGAACATGCTTCCTAGTCCTTCTCAAACTCGAGGTAACCACTACCAGACACTGGAATTGGCACCCAAGATGAACCCACTTCACATTGCTGGGATGACACTGAAGGAGCTATGAACTAGGATGTGGATTTCAAGGAATCCATCAGCTCTGACTCACTCTCTTTGTCCAAATGCATAGAACAGAGCGGCAGCTACTATTTTGAAAATAAGTAATTTCTGGAAAAAGCAGCAATGACAAAAATGCAAAGTATTAATCCCATGATAAAAATGGAAGACTGAAATGTGACGTGGTAGCAAGTTAATCTTAATTGATTTAAGTTTCAATGTAAAAGTGGATTAGCTCTGACTCAGCAGCCAGGCTAACATCCAGTGCAGTTCAATAACCTTAACAAGTTATCTTCTAATAGTGACATGAGTTCACATCATCACTTACCTCGCCAAACTGGACAAAATAGTACGGATCATCTTCTATTATGAGGAAATCATATCTTCTTGCAAGCTAAAAAACATTAAAGCAACATATATATTTCTTAAAGTAATATATTTCTTAAGAGCTATCCAAAATTAAAGTCATTTGGAATCATAATTCTTTAACATCATAACTGTGCACATTCATTTATTCTTTCATTCAAGAATTGAATGTCTCCCATCCTAGACTGTGAAGATAAAGAGGTGAACAAGCACTAAGGCCCTTGTTCTCGTGGAACTTAACACACTGGTGGGAAAGACAGAACACACATAAGCCAGTGGACACTGAGCGAAAGAAATATTAAATGGGTGGTTAAAGTGCTGGGGAGAGCATTACAACAGGTGACATTTGAGAGAGAGAGCAGTAGGGTAGCTATTTCAGATTCTATCATTGGGAAGCCCTTCCTCACCAGGCAATACAAGAGTTTAAGAGATAAGGCTGAGAACAGACTGACCATGTCACATAGCTTTGCCAGACAGATAAAGGAATGTGGACTTTATTTTTACTGCAAGGGGAAGCCACAGGAAGACTGTAACAGAACCATGAGCCTGGCTGTGCACTGACATTTCAACAGGTAAGGAACGTGACCGGTTAGAGACCAGGATGAAACGCAGCAGGGTACAGTGGGCAGTGTTGTAGGAGGCCAGTGAGGGTGGGTAGGAGCTTAGAAGATGGGGACAGTGACGGGGAGGAGAAAAAAGATGGATTTGGATAACTTGGTGAGTCCACAGGGTGAACTAGATGTGGGGGCCTGGGGAGGGGAGCTCCTCTGCTCACACTATTTGTGGGGTTGGGGAATGTGAGGGTTGTGGATTAGAGGTTTGGGTTGGTCATGTGAAGTCTGAAATGCCTATTAGACATCTGTGTGGAGGGATCAAGTAGAAAGTTGGCTACAGAGGTTTAGAGTACAGGGTCAGGCACCGTGGCAGTCATCACTTACAGAAGTAGACCAGGCTGTCTGGGCAGGTTCATAAATGGAGAAGAGAACTCAGGACAGAGTCCAGAATAAGACAACATTTTGAACCTTTGAATTTTCCAAGTAAAAGAAACCGGTTGAAATCCTTCTTGTGATCCCACTGCACATGACTAAATTCTATATAGTTTAACATGGACTTGGTATTTATTTTAAAAAGTTATTTGTAGTAAATGGTTAGGGAGCACAGTGAGCTACATAAAAGAGACTTTTCAAAAGGCTCATTTCTCTTATTTTTCAAGGATTTCTATAGAGCTCAGTATAGGTTTGTTACTTAAAAAAAAAAAAAGTTTATGGGGAAAAGCTAGGCAGCATAGGTACCTCAAAGAGATTTTACAAAAGAACAGCATGCCTCTTATTTTTAAAAAATTCTTTGCAACCTGATTTAGATGGAGTAGGAAGGAGAAGAAATAGTTAAAGAAACAAATAAAAATAATGAAAGTCAAACTTGGGGTGAAATATTAAAAGATGTTATAAAATTTAACATCAGGCCAAAAATGCTATTTTTGGTATTAACTCATCAATTAAGGTAAATGAAAAATCTCATAATTAACAAAACAGTAGAAATTTATTACATCTAGATTGACACAGATGACTCTCTTTTATGATAAATTATCTTGCTTGAAAGCAACAGGCCAATAAGAGAGGGAACTTGCAGTTTCTCTTCCACAGTCAGCAAGAAACAAGAAGCATAATTACATGTTAATACACATTCTTTTAAAATACCTCATAGATTTCCTTTTTTCGGTCACTTGTTAATGAAGTTCCAGAGGGGTTGTTGCCATTTGGGACAGTATAAAGAAATTTGGGAGTGTTTTTCTTGGGGTTCCTTGAATCTTCTGGCTTCCACTTGGATAGTATTTCTCTGAGAGAGTCTGGAATAATCCCATGTTCGTCACTGGCCACATTAATGATGTTGCAGCCCAGTGGCTCCAGCTGTTGAGCACAAGAGCCAGGCACGATTACAAAATGTAGGTACCACTGTTTCTTTTTTTTTAAATACTAACCAAGAATATGGCCATTTATATCCTTAAACATATTAACCTGCACTCAGCTCCAAGATCCTAAGGGTTGAGCTTATATATTTTAATTCTGTTGTTCGCTGGGGTGGATTACATTATTTATTTTTTTTATTTTTTATTTATTTATTTTTTTTTTGAGACAGAGTCTCGCTTTGTTGCCCAGGCTAGAGTGAGTGCCGTGGCGTCAGCCTAGCTCACAGCAACCTCAAACTCCTGGGCTCGAGTGATCCTTCTGCCTCAGCCTCCCGAGTAGCTGGGACTACAGGCATGCGCCACTATGCCCGGCTATTTTTTTATATATATATATATCAGTTGGCCAATTAATTTCTTTCTGTTTATAGTAGAGACGGGGTCTCGCTCTTGCTCAGGCTGGTTTTGAACTCCTGACCTTGAGCAATCCGCCCGCCTCGGCCTCCCAAGAGCTAGGATTACAGGCGTGAGCCACAGCGCCTGGCCTGGATTACATTATTGATCACAAACAGCTCTCCCTTCCCAGAGGAAGGACGACACCTCCTTGCCCCAGTTATGTCAGGCTTGGCCGTGCGTCTGGCTCTGGCCAAACACATTCTGGGCATTATGTGTGACATGTCCTTCCCAAGCAGGACCTCACGTGACCAGAGCATATGCCTTTTGGGTGCCAAAGCCTTCCTTTGTTCAAACCACGATATAAACAGTATAGAAAAGTCCCCGAGCCTCTTCTACGCTGCTGCTTCTCTGTATAACATCTCCATGTTGATATCCCAGCTTGTTGCCTTCATTGCTGCCTGAGAGACTGCTCGTGAGAATTAGCCCCCATGTTGAGATTACCGTGATGATAAGCCTCTGGTGCTGATAATGGAACCTAGTGGTAAGATTACTCTTTTGTGTCTTCCCCGTGGTACTTTTCTCTTACTTTCTCTCTTTCTCTTCCTTCTTAATAAATGTAAGTAAAACTGGTGTGGCTTATGGTGGTGGTCCTGCGGATTGAACTTAAATTAGAAAAAGTCTGTGCACAGCAATTGATAAAATTAATTATCAATACACCCCCTAAGCCTCAGTCTTGCAAAATAATCAGATTGCATATGCTGCTTTCATACACTGATTTGCATTTCTCTAATGGCCAAGATGTTGAGCATCTTCTCAGATGCAAATATGCCATTTGCATATCTCTTTGAGTAATGTCTATTTATTCTTTGCCCATTTACAATTGGGTTGTTTTTTTGTGTTAGTTATAGTAGCTCTTTATATATTCTTTTTTTCTTTTGAAACAGAGTCTCACTTTGTAGCCCAGGCCAGAGTGAGTCCCGTGGCATCAACCTAGCTCACAGCAACCTCAATCTCCTGGGCTCAAGCAATCCTACTGCCTCAGCCTCCCGAGTAGCTGGGACTACAGGCATGTGCCATCATGCCTGGCTAATTTTTGTATATATATATATTTTAATTGGTCAATGATTCTTTCTATTTTTAGTAGAGACAGGATCTGGCTCAGGCTTGTTTTGAACTCCTGACCTCAAGGAATCTGTCTGCCTCGGCCTCCCAGAGTGCTAAGATTAAAGGCGTGAGCCACCACACCTGGCCTGTATATTCTTGATATTAAACTCTTACCAATATATGAGTTGCAAATATTTTCTCTCATTCTGTAAGGTGTTATTTTGTATCTTTTGATGTACAAAAGTTTTAATTTGAAGTCTAAATTACCTATTTTTTATTGTTCTTGCTCTGTTTTTCCTGTCACATCTAAAATCATGTTGAAATCCAAGGTCATTAAGATTTGCCCTTACATTTTCTCCTAAGGGTTTTAAATTTTAGTTTTTACATTTAGGTCTTTGATCCATTTTGAATTAATTTATTATATGTTGTGAGGTAAGGGCTCACTTTCTCTCTTTTGCATGTGGAAATCCAGTTGTCCAGCACTATGTGTTGAAGAGACTATTTCTTCTTACTGAATGGACTTGGCACCTTGTTGAAATCAATTGCATTTACGGTTTATTTCTCAATTCTACTCCATTGCTCTATATGTCTATCCTTATGCCAGTACCACACTATTTTGATTACTATAGCTTTACAGTAAGCTTTTAAAATTGGAAAGTGAGTCCTCCATATATGTTCTTTTTCAAGATTGTTTTGGCTATTGGATCCTTAAATTCTGATATGAATTGAGGATCAGCTTTTATATTCTGCAAAAAAAAAAAAAAGCCTGTTGAATTTTGATAGATCTATACAATTAAATATATAGATTGCTTAGGGTAGAACTGACAGTCTTAGCAATATTCAGTCTTTCCAATCCATCAACAGGGCATGGTCTCTCCATTCATCGGGTCTTCTTTAATTTCTTCAGGCATAAGCTTTAGAGTTTTTAACATACAAGTCTTTCGCCTCCTTTGTTAAATTTATTCCTAGTTATTTTATTCTTCTGGATGCTATTATAACTGGATTGCTTGTATCTTGCTTTCTAAATTGACTTTATAAAAATAACATAAAACTTGGAGAATAAAAAGAATCCATGAAGTTAGAATCAGTAGAGCACAAAGGCCACCTCATTCAATTCCCCTACTCCAAGCTAGAACTACCTTTACAGTATTTGTATTAAGTGGCAATCAGGAGTAAGTAACTCTGAGCACCTGCAGTGATGGGCCATGCTTTGCCTCCTTACAAAGTCAGTTAACATCAAGGGTTAGAAAGTTTTTATAATGAGTTGAAACTGTTTATCTGGGATTCCAGTTCTATCAACCTAAGGTCATATACAAATAAATCTAATTCTTCTGTCACATGGCTAACTTTTCTATATTTGAGGACACTTCTCATGCCTTTGCTGAGTCTTTTCTATTTGGGGAAAACAGCTACAGTTCATATAACCATTCTTCACATGGTGTGGTTTCCAATTCCCTGTTCACTCTGACTACAAGTCTCTGAACGTGCTCTAGTTTGTGGACACTTCTATTCTGAAGCAGAGTGTCCCAGACAAACATAATCCTCAGTGGTGAGTTCTGAGCAGAGCACAGCAGGACAGGATGATCAGCTTCCTCGTTCTGGATATTATAGACCCACTGATTTAACACTGGAGTGGAACGTCCTCATCATACAACATTACTTTAGAGTTATATTAAATTGACATAAAACAGGGTTATTCTTAGGCATATGATAATGAAAAGGTTTTGCAATATAAGTTACATTTCAAGTAAAATATTAAGAGAAGGGCATGACTTTGCACAACCTAATTTTAGTGCCTATACATTTGGATTTTAAAAAACAAATGTATGAAGCAGAGGGTAAGGTTTACATATTTTGCATATATTATTTAAGATTCTCTGATTTACCGATGAAAGATGCTATTTTTTCAGTGGACAGATAATTCTAAAGGTGCAATGATTTCATCTTACTAATTTTAAGAGCTGCTTTTTATAAAAATGTATACTTACAACTTGCAGTGTTCCTGAATAAATAGGTTCATTTACGAGGACATTATCTCCAGGGTTAATGATCATTTCAAATACCTAACAAAAGAAGCACAGGTTAGCTTATTAGTAAATCGAGGTTGGTACTGTCTTCACGCTCATGACTTGTTTTTCATTTTGAATTCACGTGACTCTAGAGTTGGAGTTAGTAATTTTCAGTAAAGGGCCAAACAGTAAGTATTTTGTAGGCTACAGTGTCCCTGTTGCAACCACTCATCTCTGTCTGTACAGTGAGAAAGCAGCCACAGATAATATATAAAGGAACATGACTGGGTTCCAATAAAATTTTATTTATAAAATTAGATGAAGAGCTGGACTGGCTCTCAAGCCATGGTTTCAAACCCCTGTTTTAGGGTAAAGTGAAAAAGAACATAACTGGTTTGGCTCCTAAAATTCATGTATTCCTTTTATTACTTTTATGAAAATTTATTAAACGTCTACTGTAAGCCAGGTTTGTATAAGGTACTAGAAGTAAAATGATGAGCAAAATGATACCGTTCGTACTCTCATGGAGCTACCAGTCCACGTGAGAGCAACCAATTAATCAAATAACTACCCAATAAATGTAAAATTATAAACAGTGGGGAGTGCTATTGTTAAGTATAGACAAACAAGGCTATGCAAGCTCATAGTAGGAAGACGTGGGCATTCAGGGATTCAGGGAGGGCTTCCCTGAGGAAGCCATGCCTTGGTGTAAGTGGTGACGATGGTTACATTCTTTCACCTAAAGAATTCTGTGGCTTGAGGTGGAGTGTAAAGAGGACAGTGGAGAGTCAGACAGACAGAAGAGGGCAGAGACCATGCCAGGGGACCCTGAAGCCAAGGGTGGTGAGTGAGAGTTTTAAGAAGGGAGAGGGGAGTGGGGGTTACATTATCAGACATGCATTTTGAAAAGATCAATCTGGCTGCAGTACGAAAGAATAAAAGAAGGGCGAAATTACACATGGACGTTTGGGAAGTTATTGCCACAGTCTGGGGACATTTGATAAGGGGCATCTGAACAAGAGTGGTGGTGGTGGAATTTTAGAGAAGAACGGGGAGGTATTCAGGAAATGAAAACCAAAAGAACATGATTATGGACTACAGAGGAGTGAGGAAGAGCAGGTGTCAGGAGTGATGCCTGGATTTCTGGTTACTGAACTAGACAGAGCGTGAGGCACCACTGCCTCGAGGCATTCACTGAAATTCAGAAACAGAAAGTCCACATCTGAGCGAGATGATGACGAGCTGTTTTGTGTGAGGGGCCCTGAAACATCCTGTGGTGGTGTCAGGTGGTCAGATGGACAAACAGATCTGGAAGGAGCGTGGAAGGTATGAGCACATGGCTGACCACATGAGTGTGAAGGGAGGTACCCAGGGAGTGTACAGATTCAGGACGCTCAAGGCCTGGGCCGTAGGAACTCCAGTAAATACTGGTTGGGCAGAGGACACTGCAAGGGAGGCAGGCAGTGAGCTGGAGGAGAGCCAACCAGCGTAGGGGTAGGAGGAGAGTGCTTCAAAAAGGGCGGGGAGGTCAACAGTGTTCAAGGATATTTGGAGGTTAAGTAACAGAAGGTTTGACAAATTTTAGGAGATCGTGTGGACAATATGATGCCTACTGACACCCTCAGAGCTAGGCAATAGATTTTTCCAGCTTAAATCAAAGGAGTCTTTTATGACTAAATCATATATAAGTCATAAAAAAATCCCCTTACCTTGTGATGTTTTACAATCCCCACACAGTTTGAATTCTTCTTCTATCTTTTTAACAACTCGCATCACAACAAAAAGTAGGGCCATTATCAATTGAGACAGACAGAAGATTTGACTTTGTCCCCCAGCTTGAGATGTTCAATTTACCTTTCCCTTACGAGCTTTTGGAACTTTATGACAAATAGTATCCTCCTCTGCAAAGCAGCTAATTGATTTGGTTTTTACAGAACATCCTAAGACCAAAGAAATCACTAGGGCACATATGCCTTATCAATAGATCAAATGAAAACCTAATTACTGTTTGCCCCAGAACAGGGGTTTGATGTGTTCGGGTCCACTCATATGCAGATTTTCCTCTGCCTCTACTGTCCCTGAGACAGCAAGACCAACCCCTTCTCCTCTTCCTCCTCCTCAATGTGAAAATGACAAAGGTGATTCACTTCCACGAATGAATGGCAAATATATTTTCTCTTCCTTTTGATTTTCTTAATAACATTTTCTTTTCTCTAGCTTACTTTACTGTAAGAACACAGTATATAACACATATAAGATGCAAAATATGTGATAATCAACTATTTCTGTTATCCATAAGGCTTCCAGTCAACAATGGACTATTAGTAGTTACATTTCTGGGAAGTAAAAAGTTATATGCAGACTTTTCACCTGTGTCAGGGGTTGGCACTTCCAACCCCCCACCCCTAGTTGTTCTAGGGTCAACTGTAAATATACTGTCATGTAATGGAGGATATACTAATTTAAAATATCCTAAATTAAAGGGAGGGCTCTTTATCATCTGGTAGCAGTGTTTAATAACACTGACAGAAACACAGAAGCCCAAAATGCCATCTATTCTGGAGAACAAAGTGGAAGAAAAATTAAACCAAATTCCTACTAAGGCCCTTATAATTAGCATGTCTATAAGTAATAAGTTACTGAGTATTTTGCCAACTTTGCTGTCTTCCTTCTTTGATATGACAGGTGTTGTGACAGATAAAAAGAAACTGTCTTGAGCATTTTTCTGGAAGAAAAATTTCATGGTATCCTTTACTAAAAAAGAATTTCATTGAAAAGACTTTTTTACATCACTCCATAGAATGACAAATGTTCTCTTCAAGCAAAAACTCAAACCATGATAATCCTTTTACTTTTCCTAATTAAATACAAAGAGGATATGGAATTGTTTTTAGTTATTAAAAATCTTTAAAAATATTTTTATTACTATAATCCATTATTGTTTATTAACAATTTTATTAAAGTTCATTAACATGAACTACATAACAGTGTTCCCATTTCCATAAAAAATAAGTAAAAGAAAGCTACTCTGGCTTAAGAAAAATAAGAGCCACATTTTAATCTAGATGTGAAAATGAGGATAGAGGATCTTTGTCCAAGAGTAGTAATTCACAAAAAGGAAAAGAAAAAGTGAGATAAAACGGAGGACCATGGGTGTGATCTCTCTACTGTGGGGACTACCTGTTGGAGGTTACATCTGTGGACTTCCTGGAGCCCAGAAGGGAGGCAGGGGGAATAAGTGATGGGGGAGGAAGAGAAGTAACCCAGATAGAGAAGTCAGAGACAGAGACATACAAACAGATCTCAAGAAGCACAGCCAAGAGGGGCAAAAGATACCAACAGTGGCGAACACAGATTCCACAGACAGACATGCAAAGGAATAACATTTTCATCTCAGGAGTGTGAGGATATGCTCTTTCAAGAATTTAAAATTCAGAAATCAAATGTAACCTGTATCTTTAATCCAGATGAAATTAAGCAGTGCTCACTAAGCTTCTGGTAGGAGTTGAGAACTCCCTTAGTGGGGCTCTTGTTTTAATGACTCATAGGTCTGGGCCTTGATCACACACTTTATATTTAAAAAAAATCAGGCTGGTGAATGATTTTTACGAGCAGATAATTTTTTCAAGTCCTTGTATTCACAATGAGGATAACTGAAGGGAAATATTGATAGGCTTTTGTGTACCCCCAATGTACATACACAACCCCCTCCCATCCTATGTCTCATCTGTTTGTGCTTACGAACATACTTCATTCCACACACAGGCTACCTTTTCCTTTCTGTCTTACCTTATAAATTCCTTCTTGACTGCCGGTCGTGACACATATGTCCATTTGTCCTTGACTGGGTGGATAGTGGACAGTGGGAGGATTATGCAATTTCACTTGTAACTGTTTTAGCCAGGACAAAAGCTCTGGAATTCTAAAGCATGAAATGTAAAATGTAAAAATCACAGTAGGAATAGGCAGGAAATAAATGGTAGCTTTATACTGAGTACTTTATACATTCAATTAAAAAACTCTTAAATGCTTGTTGCCAGTATTAATATTCCCATTTAAAAGATAGGCAATAGATTCAGAGATTAGGAAATTTCCATAAGGTCAATCAGCCAGAGATTCTCATAAAGGTAATCATTTAATCAAAGAGCTGATATTTGAGTCTATATCTTTCTTATTCCAAACCTGAAGTCTTTCTTTTACTTTAGAGCATTGCATTATCAATTCTTTGTTCCTTCTAGAAAGATTTCTATGGATACTAAAAAAAATTCAGGCTGAATAAGTTGTGTCATGGAAAGAAAAGCCTATGTATACATATTATATGATTTATATATATATATACATATGAATAACACGTACTTTTCAATCACAGAACAAGGATTTAATAAACTATAATTTATATACTTTCTATAAATTATCTCTTATCATCGGAAGAAGACCAGCTAAAGAAAGTGTTAAGATATGTATTTCAGCTTGCCTTTAAGAAATTAAAGACATTTGAACCTATGAGGGCAAGGTATGTGTATACCTGCTTGTTTAGAAAGGGAACATAGTTATTAAAAAATTGCCTGGGGCCTTAAAATCTCTGCTTCCTGGATCACCCATTTCCTTTCTCCTAGTGTGCTTCTCCACCCAGCTGTCTCCTCACTGCTTCAGACTCAGCTCAAATGGTCCTTCCTTCCAGAAGCCTTCTCTGACTCTCCCAGTCACTTAAGGTTGAGAAACAATCACTGAGGAGCATTAAATATCCCTCTTGCTCTTAATTATTCTTTGAAAACTCTCCCCAAACCTTCCTAGCCATTGAACACCCAGTAAAAAAAGACACAAGTCACCTTAGAATATTTCTTATGGAAATGAGTTAACAAAATTATATCATCTATTGACACCTACCCAGCACTTTGAGAATACTGAAGTGCTCTCTTCATCATCTCTTCCCCAAACTCGATGGTCTTTCCACCTTCCACGGTGATGGCAGCTGTCTTAAAGGGGAATGTGTTTGGATTTGGTGATCCAGTACTCAAGTGGATGACTGATTTTAAGTCCTTGCCATATACATCAACTACAATAAACATGGGAGAGAAGAAACACTTTCATTGAAGACTGTTACAAAAGGACATAGTTAAGTGTGCATTATAGCCAATAAAACTATATAGTCGAACAATTTGTAGTGACAGAATGTGCTATGGTGCAATTGTTGTTAGTGTCCCCCAAATTCCTATGTTGCAACCTAACACTCAAAGTAATAATATTAACCGGTGGGGCGGTGATTAGGCCATTAGGTCTCCTTCCTCCTGAATGGGATTAGTACCCTTATAAAGGAGAGCAGAGAGAGCACCCTTGACCCCTTTGGCCATGTGAGGACACAGGCCCCCTAACTACCATGTGAAGATGCAGCAAGAAGAGTCTGTCAGTAAGAAACAGGCCGTCACCAAACAGAGAATCTGCTGGCACCTTGATCTTAGACGTCTTAGTCCGCAAAACTGTGAGAGAAATAAGCCTCAATCGTTTATGAATTACCCATTTTATGGTATTTTGTTACAGCAGCCTGAAAGGACTAGGATGGAATGCTAGTCTAAAATAAACACACAGAATAACTTTTTCTGGGCTGCCTCACCGGTGCACAGTAAAGAATGGAGATGACCCAGGAGAAGACAGAGAACAGCCAGGGCCACCACAGCAGGGGACTCTCCTCCAGGTAGCGCCCACCTGTCCGCGGAGCCTCAGGGCTGCCCCCCCCTCCCACTCCGCACGGAACCTGCACACTGTGTCCTCCCCGCCCCACAGGAAGAGCCTCTCCCAGGGGAGAGGGGGCCCGGTTCTCACTCATGGTTCGGATGGGAGAAGGCTTCCTGGCCGCGCTCGCCGCCGTGATGAACCGCGCGTAATTCATGTCTCCGACAGGCTCGCGTCTTCCTCAGCGGCCGGGGCTGGAAAAACCGAACGGCGCGGTCACGTCCCGCGCAGTCCGCGCTCGGTCTCCGGGTCCCGACGGCCGAGGCGGGTGGCCGGACCGCGACGTCCCGCGCTGAGGGAGGGCCCGCGCCCCGGCCCATGACGCCGGCCGCGCGCGTCCCCATCCCGGGTCAGCGCCCTTGGTGTGCGGGGACAGGCACGGTCGTGTCGCACTTGCAGCCCGGGACCGGCGTGTGAATCGATTCAAAGGTAGTTGGACTCTTGACCTCCCAGCTACGCGCTGCCCAAACGCCCCGGCGCTGGAGCGGCCCAGGCTCCAGCCATGATGCGGGCGGCGCTTCCGGTTGACCGGAAGTTGCCCGCGATCCTTGTCCTCCGGCCCCACCTGGCGGCCGCTGCGGCCATTGCAGCGCGTTCCTGGGCGCGGACTGTTCCTGTCGCTGCTCTGTTATTGCGGTGCCCAGTTTCTGTCTCTCATTAAGAGAACTATATAGGCGGGGCGCGGTGGCTCACGCCTGTAATCCTAGCACTCTGGGAGGCTGAGGCGGGCGGATTGCTCGAGGTCAGGAGTTCGAAACCAGCCTGAGCAAGAGCGAGACCCCGTCTCTACTATAAAAGAAAGAAATTAATTGGCCAACTAATATATATAGAAAAAATCAGCCGGCATGGTGGCGATGCTTGTAGTCCCAGCTACTCGGGAGACTGAGGCAGGAGGATCACTTGAGCCCAGGAGTCTGAGGTTGCTGTGAGCTAGGCTGACGCCACGGCACTCACTCTAGCCTGGGCAACAAAGCGAGACTGTGTCTCCGAAAAAAGAAAGAGAGAGAGAACTATGGCAGTGTCCTGGGAAGTCACCGCCGACCCAGCTGAAGTGCAACGTCGCTGTGTCCCAGATCTGAGCAGTGCAGTGTGCGTGCAGTGCCCATAACCAATATTTTAAGAATCCCTCTGAAGTCGCCCCTGGCATTGATTTCTGAACTTTCGTTATGAAAAATTGAGGTGAAAGTGTATATCCAAATCTTTTTGGGTCTGATACCTTGCCCTCTTTTCTTACCAAATAATCTCCCTCTCCAGTTTTTCTGTCATTTCTTTTTCCTGAATCACCAAATTGGAATGTACAGGGTTCTGTGTGAGCACTGAATGAGAGCAGAGTTTGAGACAATCAAAATCTCTTTCTCTCCCTGTTTAAAAAGTTTTAATGGGTATAAAAGAGTCATTTATT